GTGAGCAGTACCGCAAGAGGAGGGAGTTTCCGAAGAGTCTGGTTCAGATGACAGAGTTGCATTGTCCACTGCCACATCAGATCTAGAGGCACGAACCAAGGCATAGCATTTGGAGAAAGTATGTGTTGAAGTCCATGTAGTAGCCCGGCAGATTTCAGGTCCTGGAAGTCCCTAATAAGGCCAGGATGTTGACTGCACCTTAGTAGAGTGAGCCAGAATCTGAGCAGGCGGCTAGGCACTGACAGTCTCCTAGAAAGTCCAACCACCCTGGATGGTCTCTAAGTAGAACCAGAAGAATACTTACATTTGTCTACAGTGTAGAAATATTTGTCTCAAGAGACTTCCAGAATGGTTTGCTTCCATTGAGGTAGAAAGCCAATGTCTCTGGCCACAGAGAGATCAGCAAATGTATAGTCTAGGTCAGATAAAGCTCAGCTGAAGGACTCTGGGACGTGAACATATGGATATTGTATCACTGAAAAATACTGTAAAGGAAGGATCCACCAAAAGGCCCTCTGATTTCCCCAACTCTTCCAGGTGGTCTTTGTGGACAAGCAGAATAGCAAGCAGGCCACCTCAAATCACAAGGAGGCTCCATGAGGGCTCCAAGAACTAAATGAAGATCATAGACTGGGGTAGGGACTTTCATGCAAAGAAGAGGTTCCTCAGTCCCTTAACCAGTCAAAGTTGTGGGGGGGGGAGAGAATATGGAGAACACTTCCACTACACAAGTGTGAAGGCAAGTCACAATACTCAGATTCTTGATGCATGCAGCGAGATGGAACTAAGGAGGGCCATGGTGATGCTGCGCTTACGTAGCCCAGAAGGGGGTAGGAGGGAAAGGATGCAAACACTATCCCTATAGGTACTGGTAGGAAAAATTCTCCAGCTTTAATGTGCTAGCCAAGCTCACCCCCATTCGCCCAAAGTGGCATGGCAACGGTCTCTTCTTAGCTGTAGCTCTGTTCCCCATACATGATACGTATGGGAAGGGACAGGAGGTTCATATTGAAGAACATTATGACTTAAAATCTATTGCAATTGCAAGCTTCTCCCCATTATATATTTACAGCTGCTGTTACACTAGCCTAGAGCACATGTACCACCACTGTGGTCCATGAGGCTACACACACATCTAAATACTTTACTGACTGATCTCGGCTGTCCCATTTCCCTAACTTCTATTTATTTTTATTCTGAGCCCTGAACATATTTTTTTAAACCAGCAGGACACCCCCCTTCTTTTTTAATTGATGGAGACTAAGGATTTTAAGTTAAAATTAAATTAGGTAGAATGTCAGTAGACTATGTATTCAAAATGTGTGGGCCCAGCATTACGTTACTTTGTTAGAGTAAAGGAATAGGCATAAACACTAGTAACGTACAGAAATTCTGCTTTAACATTAAGTTGATGGCACAGACTAATGGGTAAGACAATTAAGAGTTAACAAGCCATATCACCCTGTGGCAAGGGAGGACAGAGAGCCTAGACAGTACAACACTGAACTAAGAATCAGAAAACCTGGTTCTTATTGCTGACTCTGTCATGGGCTTTTTGTGGGCCTGGCAAATCATATAAGCCTTCCTTTTCCTCAGTTTCCTCATGGAGAAATATTTTGCCTATTTTATATATGCCACAAGAATGACGTGAGCCACTCAGACTTTGGTGAAGATTACCACAGATTGCTTACAGAAGTAGGAGGGAGATCTTTGGAAAGCACATGATAGTATGCATCAAGGCCTAGTGTTGTCAGAAAGACTGCACACATGCCCAACACTAAGTAGTTACGCACTGCAGTGATGGAGCGTCAGAGAAGATTAAGATGAAATGAGATTATTTGGCAACCTTAACTCAAAGTCCTCTGTTATGATTAGTGCGAAGACCAGGCCCTTCTCTTGTACATGTGTTTTAGCTGGTTTGAGAATGGCAGTTTTCCTACTCACACTGTAAAGTCAGCACTTTGCATCAGGATGGTTTTTTCTAACCCTGGGGGCAGGGTGTGCTGGCTTCCTAGAATACCTAACTCTCATTAAAAGGTTCCCTGAAAGACTTTAAAATTAAGAGAGGAGGCGCAGGCTGCTAACTGAATTTATCCTTTGAAACAGAATCAACTGTACTCAAATCAGCTGCAGAGGGAAACCAGATCTCTCAAAATGCATCCTTCTTCGATATAGCAGCTACCAATAAACTCTGCTGGAGTGCAGGGTTGGCCTAAAGGTAGCCAGGAATCTAGTATCTCACATACATGAGCAGTTACAGAGTCTTTAAAATATGATTTAACCTTGAGATGAAAACCATACTGCACATAAAACTTAAGTGAACTCTTCTGGGCTTGTAAGTGCCATGGGGGGCAACGAGGCTGCAACATCACATCGTGAAAGCTTGTAGAACATCACAGCAAAATGCCACGGACTTTCAGAGTCAGCAAATTTCATTTTTCTAAAAGGCATATTTACAGCCCCCTCCTAGCAGAACTGTCCATCCCACATGCAATTTGGGGCAGTAAATTTTGCAGCTCACCTTGAACATAAATTGAAGTCATAAAGGCATACATTGGGGTGGGGGGGGAGGGAGAAGCAAGGTTGTTCTACGCTTTTGCTGACATTAGGAAAGCAGAAGATGGAAATGTCACTGAAGAAGATGCTGAAGTAATTACCTACAATATTTTGCAAGGCAAGTTTCATGCTGCGTCTGCTTATTAATATATTAAACTGTTGTACTAAAACAAAAATGTTACAGAAACGCTACTTAACCCTAAGTACAGACCAACTCCTGGGGTGGCTTTTTATTATTTCTGACCTAGAACTACTTGAATAAAATGTATCAAAAAGTGTGAAAACAGAAGTGATTTACATTTCATTTTTGTTTATAAACATTACTTGATGTATACTAGTGTGTGAAAAATACTACTAAAACTATAAACATTATTTACTACTACTGTTACTACTACACCACATTTATTTTTAACTGCTGATAGGTATTTTCTGAGTGCTATTTATCGTTCAACGTAATCCTTACTATACCTGCATCACTGGCAGATTCTCCTGAAAAAATAAAACACATTAATCAGTCTTTAGATAGAGATTTTGTATCTTGCTAAAGAAAACAGTGATCAAGCTAGATATCTAGCACTAGAACAGAACTACAGAAATCTACAACTGAAAAAGGGATCAACTCGTTAGCATGAAGAGCAAATCACTTAGTGGAGTACTGCTGGCACAGAATCCCAGTCTGTTCTGCACGATAGCCACAGGGTCACAGAACACAAAGCAGTCTCTTAACTGTGGGCTGAAACAATTTTAACCACAGACAAGAAACTCCTGACACTTTCTGCTGACCAGACCATAAGGAGCTGTTTCCCTTGCATGTAAATGTAGCATAATCCACAAGTACTCTAACAAATGAAAGGTCTACAGAAAAACAGATATTGGAATATTTAGAAGCAGTCTTCACAGCCACCCTATAAACTCTTTAAAGAACTACATATATTATAGGGAGAGCTAGGTCTAATTCTTATGCACTGCTGCTGATGCGAATACCGCAGACAGCTGCCTTGGATTCCATGCTAATTACCTGAGTGCAATAGATTCTCTCTGAATGGTAACGCCTAAAACTCAAAAGGGGCAGAATACTCCATGTGACCGTACAGCTGAACCTACATCACTAACTACCAAAGTTAAGAAACTGACCATTGCCAGAAAAGGGATGGAAATCATTTAACCTTAACTCTCCTTAGCACAACAGACATTTCTGTCATGGAGCTCAGGAGAGCGAGCCTAGGAGCTAAGTCACAAAGCTGACAGTTCTAATGGAGAACTTCCTGTGACTGAGCAGGACTTGCTGGACAGCTGCAGAGCACTGCTCTTCCTCTTCCCTCAGCCATGACTAAGGTGCAGGGAGCCAAGCCGATCAGGAGAGAGGGGAAGCAATACAGGAAGCACAGCTGACAGCATGGAGATCTGAGGACCAGCAGTGTCTCAGCCATGCTGGGACAATAGACAGGAGGATGACCTGCAGGATTACCAGAATGGGGAGAAGAGAGCACAGAGAAGAGCTGATGCCAGTTGCAGTGGAAAGCAGAGAGGGAGCCCAGACAGAGGCCACCCGGGGAGCAGAATAGGCAACACTTTGTTTTCCCTTCATTACAAGCATCATGCCCCATGCAAAGATAACCTGGAAAACACTCTAACCCTTGACAACTGGACTGCTACCATAGTGATGTCTTCCTTCCTCAAGGCCAAACTTCCACAGACCAATCACCTCCCTGGGATGGGTTCCCCTTGGAGTGCCACCTGGAACGTGGTACCTCTGAGACCACTACCCCCAGTCCCACCAGCCTGGGCTCACTTTCACGTGGTGCTGCTGCAACAAGCTGCCAAGCCCCCAGCCAGTACACCCACCAGTGTACAGCTGCAGTTCCATGCTGGATCTGGCCAGCCCCATAGGAAGGCAACAGCTAGGGTAACTTTCCCATAAGTTCATGTGTCTGGATCTGGAGAATAAACTGGTTCAGCTTTCAGCCTACGCTCTTGATTTGTTTCTATTCGGTGACAATATCCACTTACCCTGTTAATTAGATATTCTCACATTGCAATTCTTTGAACACCTTAAGTGGGCCTTAAAAATAGTGAAATAAGGAGGAGGAGATGGAATTTGCTCTAAACTCTTGTGCCGGTTAGCAACAGTCTGTAGATATGCTGGGGAAAACCCAACCACTTGAACAAATGGGAACACCCTGAAGTCATTCAATCATTTGACAGGAGGTGGAGCTGGCCTGGCTCGGCTCTCCCCTGAGATATAGTCACATGCTTGGCAGTTCTGCCTGCACTCAAGTGTAAGTGCAACAACAAAGTCTGTTATCGCACTTCCTTCTCCCTTCCCTGCTCACATGCTGTCCTGGTTCTAACCCTCGCACAGCACACCCCAAACCATACTTCGTTGCTGGAGAAAAATAATAGTTTCTGGTCACCATAGGAGTGGGAAATAAAGCTTTATGGTGTCTAACAGGGTCTCAGATCTTCCCTAGCGTTATTCATGAAAACAACTGGATCTCAGTTGGAGTGACTTGTCACTACCACTCACTGGCAAATATCAGAGTAGCACCTACTAGCCTCAAGCTTTTATTTGAAAGGCCTTGTGCTTCAATAGGAAGTCAAGTCCTCAGTAGGCAAGGTGCTCACTAATAGTTACAGGGCAGCATTTGAACTGGAGAGAAGAAAACACATCTGAACTTGTTACATGCCCTTAGGAGCATGGACCCAAATGAAGAATCCAGAGAATTCAGAAGGATACTGAACAAGATTTCATTCTTACCTTGGTGTTTTATTGCAGGTTTGGGGTCAGCTTTTGCATGCAATATGCTAGCTGCTTTTTCATCTGACATGCTATCTGCAGGACTATTAGTTTCCACTATTCCTAGCATAACAGAATTTACAAGAGGAAGAAATTAATGATATAATAGAAATTTAGAATAAGTTGCTGTGCTACATATTTAGTCCACTTTACTACCTGTTTATGGATTGTTCTGGTTTAGGGAAGAATCTTGAGTGCAAATAAGGAAAGCTACAAATGTGCGATAGGTATTTTTTACATAGATTGTGAAGTACACACTTAAAAAAATAAAATAAAACCACCCCACCACAGCAAGTTTTTCATCCCAAGCAGCAAAACTATATTGACTGTCTGAGCTACAAACACAGAGTTTATTCTATTTAAGAGCAGTTTACAAATCAATAAATATCCAGTATCATCTACTAGCAGGGTAAGAATGTAACTGATGCTGTATTTACCTAGTGAAACCTGTGGATTACATGGCACATAACTGACTTAGTTTCAATAACTTGTGTTCAGTAATAAGATCATGGCATGTTATCAAGGAACTACTTCCACAACATGCACTGTAAAACTTTAATTTAATCACATCACAAAATGCCTAATCTATGGTTATTAGTCAGCTTTTTAATGCTGGAAGAACAATTATTTTTGCTACGGTCTATCTAAAATGAGGAGAGAATTTCATATGCCCACTACCTTAAACTAATTTCCCTGTTGTCTGTGTAACGCAAGGGCACATGCAAGATAATGCATATTGGAAAGAATAACGTGAACTACTCATGCACATTGTTGGGCTCTACATTCACCACACCACTGTGGCAGCTCACTGAGCATCCATGGTGGAAAAAGCAAACACGCTACTAGGCCGTGTAAAGAATGGAACAGAAAATACTACCCGACGTATTAACAGACCATTATAGAAATCAATAGTATGGAACAATGTGCTCAGCTCATTGGCTTTGCCCCAACACTGCAGCAGAACTAGAATGGGCCCAGAGAGAGGTGGTGAAGAAGATGACACGCATGGGAGAGTCTGGAAAGAGAAGGACTATTAAGAGGAAAAACAAGAGGGGACATGATAGAAGTACACAATGTAATGCGTGGTACAGAGAAGGTAAAACCAGGTGCCCTTATTTAGCTTTGCTCGTAAGAGAAGAGCACAGAGACATTCACAGAATATGAAAGTCAACCCATTTAAAACTGTTAAATGTGGACCACTACACATAATCAAGCTTTATAACTCTGCCCCAAGGCCAAGAGCTTAGTAGGAAGAGATGTTTGTACAGCTGGTGAAAAGACCCAGGTATATCAGAAAAGAATATTAATATGCACAAGGGATATGAGCCCTCATACATCAGAATATAAGCCAACCACTAATGATTTTAGGAATCAAGATGGCTTGTTGGTATGTTATTTCATAATTGTCCACTAGAGGATTTCTAGCACCTTCCTTTGAAGCACTTGCAAGGAGCAACAGTCACAAACTGGACTATTGAGCTATTCTGGTGTAGTAATTCCTATATTACATGGGACTATCCAACAAGGTAAACAATGAAGACACTGCTATGGCCAGTGTTTAATAAAAAGTAAACACTATTCAGTTATGACATACCAAGCATTGTTTGCTCTTACCTGGTTCTTGCATTGTTGTGACTGACTCAGCTTTCTCTTTTAATATACTAGCTGCCTTCTCAACCAAGACACTAGCAGCAGTTTTACTAGCTTCCTTTCTTCCTGACATAAAATAGTTTACAATGAGATAGGAACCTCACACATCAGGGACATACTCCCAAACATTTCAGAGTCAGCTGCTAAATTATGTAATATATGCACAAGGTGCCTAGGGCAGTGTTTCTCAACCAGTGGTAAAAGTACCCTTAGGAGTACTCGAGAGAAGTCTGGAGGGGGGGGTATGTCAACACAACTGAAATTTGGAGAAAACTGAATTTTTGTTGTACGTTTTACAGCGCTTTATTATTTTTGTACTTTTTACACCCAAAAATGTCATCACCTGCCTGGCTACGATTAAGTTGTTTAAGCAAATGTGTTGCAATGGTAGAAAAAAAACTGTGCGTGTCTGAAAAGTGTAGGTACTGGGGGTACTTACAGTTATTTTTGAAAAGGGGTACGTTATAAAAAAGGTTGAGAAACACTGGTCTAGGGTGCATCGCCGTTGTTAGGAGCAGCCTACCCAAGCATGCACTCTTTGGATTTTCACACCGCACAAGGGGAAGTACTTTTGCTGCACTCTGTAATGGTTAATTAGCTAACCGAGTAGTTGATGGAATTTCCATCCACTGCTCAATTAGTTGATGGGGGGGGGCACTTGCTGCTGCCACTGCAGCGCTGCAGTTTAAATGACGTAAGAGCTCCTGGGCAGAGTCACAGCAGGGTTAGCTCCTGGGCTGGGACAAGCTTTTAAGCCAGCTCTCCCCAGCACCAGCTCCTGCTTCCTCCCCTTCCCTGCATGCTGCCTCTGGTAGAGAGGCAGCGGGTGGGTGGAGAGAAGCAAGTAGTCGAGCACTCACTCCACTCGTCACTTACATCCCTATGCACAATGGAGCTCCTCACTACTACGTACTTGTGACTGTGGATTTACTGGCACGTCAAGAGTGTTTTAATGTAAAACCCAAGCTTTCCTCTTCCCTGGTCTGCCAGCATGACGCCTGCATATCTGTATTACTTTACAAAAGCCTGTGTGAGACACCTCTAAAGAGGCTGCACTCCGAACATACGCACAATCTGGTATTTTCTTTACATAAGGTCTAAATGCTCTGGTGAAACAATATCATGCCACAAAAATATTCATTCTTTTAAAAGGAAAGCTGCTCACATGCTCTGTCAAGCACAACTACGGACCAAAAATCACAACTGATTTAATGGAAGGAGTAAATCAGCTTTTGTGTTATAAAAATCACTGACAATTGCAATATAAAATTTACAGATTAACTTAATATTTGCATTGCTATGCAATGAGTTTTACTACAGGACACACAACAGTGAAAATAGCTACTCACTGGTAACTTGAATGACAATAGATTTAATATGTAACTATAGAGGATAATTAAAAATAAAATTGCAATATTGAAAAACTATTCTTAATAAAAAGGGTGGTTTCTAACTGGTTCTAATTACTGCAAATTCATTAATCTGGAAAGATCCCTGCAGTTTCCATTTCAGTTTTATGGACACAACAACTGCATTTGCAGGTCTTGTAATGCAAGCCTCTTCTCTTCCTGGCAATATTTCTTTCAGATTTAACATTAAAAAGAACATTCAAAGCTCACAGCCCCCTGACAAACGTCCAGCAGCCACAGAAGTGTTTGCAGTAGGCATTAAGACAGGAAATGAATGCCTCCAAGGCACATGGGCACTTGTGGAAATCCTACCAGGTACTCTAGACCCTTTTCAAAAGTGGGGCCCTATCTTCTTTTCAGTATTGTTCCCATGGTCTGACAGAACACGTTAGCCTTTCGCCTCAGACACCTGGGAATCAAGCTAGCTTGGGAGCAATTCCTGGACATCAGGGATTTGAATCTAGTACATGAAGTGGTTTGAATAATGCACCATGATTAGCAATCTGGAAAAAAAGCTGGAATAGCAGGAACGTTCCAGGCCAAGAATAAGGGACATGAAGACCCAAACATCTCCTTTGCCAAACAAAGTCTCTCAGTGGTATTTCTTACCTTTGTAAAAGCCAAATAGAGGAGAAACTTGCCTTGATTTAAAAGCACTATCTGAATTCATGTAAGAATCAGAATTACTGCTGGTGCGACCAATGTGCATAGTGTGACATGGTGAGGAAAGCATGCGTCACATTAAACAGTTAAAATGAATGTAGCAATGAGGAAAAAGCTTGGAATATGGAAACACCAACTCGAGAACCAAAAAAATATGAGCCATGGTTAACAGACAAGTTTGCTTCTTACCTAGCTGTTTCACTAGAATGTTCTTCCTGGCTTTCATATATGAAGGGCTAAGCTTTTTCTCAGTTGTGGCACTAGCTGTAGTGTTTTTAGATTCCTTTCTTCCTGACATGAAAGTTATGAGATAAGCATTTAGGATATTTGAAAGGAAACTGTATAGACTCAATTGGTGTACAAATACCATAACTAATGCACTTACTAACTGCAGGTGGCGACCTAATCAGCTGTAATGAAGAACCTTGGAAGATAAATAAGATATGTTACATTTTCACAACGTACAGGACAGCAGTTCTGAGAGTTAGCTAGAATGAACAAGAGGCTAAAATCCTCACTTAACCATGGCCTAAGACACTAAAGAGAAATTCCTGGCAGGGGTATGTTGCAACAGAGACTGAGAGTTGGTATCCAGCTCGGGTCTACTGTGCTCTGTGTGGACTCAAATAGATTCTCATCTCCTAACTGTTAAATTGCCTGCTCAAAGGAATGGATTGGTGGTCTCTGCCCACTACCTAAAAGGCAAGTGTGGCCCTACCAGAACCATTGCCACAGGAGATAACTTGGACAGTCTTGGGACAGAGGCCAAGGACTGAATGGGCTTGGAGACAACTACATGGTCACTCACTGATCTTTTCAAACACAGCTGTGGTACGCTGGCAGGGTGGGAAGAGAAAGTTCAGAGTGCTGCCTGTCCCACCCGTATCAGTCCTAGAGCTGACTCCGGTCTGCATGCTGTAAAAGTGGGCACTTTCCACATGTCCTCCTTTTGTTTTCTTGTTAACGGGGAGTTAGGTAGGAACCCAAACCACAGCAAAGTTTTCTTAGCTACACCTGAGCCCAACATTACACTAAAGCAGGAAACCCCAGAGAGTCTCTTAGACAGATTTTCTTCTTGGTTTACTCAAGGGTTGGTATTGGGTTCGGGTTTTTTTGGGGGGAGGGGGGAGAGGGGGAAGTTTGGAGGTAGTGCAGAAGTAAGAGTCTAATACCAATGGGAACCTAATTTTCTTTTTTCTGTGTTTCACCTTGGTGTACACAGCTAGTTGTAATATCACGATATTACAGCCACTTTGGTTAAGAGAACTAGCAAAAATGAGAAAAGGAACAGAAACAAGAAACACAAGACTTTTGAAACTTTGGTTTAAACTGGTTTTGTATAGGTCAAGCTTCTGTGGCACAGAGATCTAGCTTCTTCCCACATATGCCACTATAGCCTGGCCTACCATGCTTGCAACGTGAAAATTCTCTGATTCAGACTAGATCTGTGTCTGAATAATGGCATCTGCCAGTATTTGTATTTAATCAAATGACAAACTAGTGCACAAATGTGAAAGATATAATGGCATGTGCTGAAGCTCTACTTCAAATCCGGTGAAACTCGAGAACCCTAGAGCGCACCTGGCTTTCTGCACAGAGCTATTTAAACCAAGGAAAGCCCCGGTGCAGTTAGTGGGGCAACAGCATCCTCCCGTAAGCCTGCCACAAGTGCAAACTACGTCCCATTGTTGCCAGACTCTCCTCTCCTCTCCCCCTCCTCTCAGGATGGGGCAGATGCTAGGCACATGATGCCGTGCTCAATTTTTCTGCTAGGACTGCAAACCCTAGTGGGCCTGGGCAGAATGGCCTCAGATTGACCCTGCTTGTGTCCATTCATCAGCCCTTTTATTCATCAGCATCTCGGTGATGCCACCGGGGGAAGCAACAGGGGCTACAAAGTCAGCCATGTCCTGACAAAACCTTGCTCCCTGTCCTTCTCCAACTCAGACTCCCTAGGCAGAAACAGACCAGGATGGAAAAAGCTAGGTGAAGTGCAATCCGGAATGCCTGAGCCTCTGCAGAGAGCTTGAGGAAAGCACAGAGAACCCACCAAAACAGATCTGTTCCCATCACGGGGGGCATCCTCCCGAATCATCAAGACGGCTATCATCTAGGAATCCTACTTGACTTCTTGTTATTGCTAAACGTGCAGGTTACGCTGATCACCAATGATCCCTTGTGTCCCATCCTGTCAGATACAGGATGTGTGACCGTCAACCCTGCTTTGACCTCTCAACTGGATTATTGCAGAAGGACAGAAACCGTAAGCAAAAGCTATCCCAAAACTCCCGTCCAGGCCGGAGTTCACCCAACCATCTGCTGAATGTGTGGCGCTCATAAAAGCATATCAGACCTGGTTTTTACTTTCTGGCTTTTCCAACTGATGCAAGGTGAAATTAAGTTATTGGTTACTAGAGATTATGCCCTGATGAACCACCTTGCCATTGCCAAGAAAGCACATAACTGATTTTTATGCACAAATCTGAAACTTCATGCTCTCGAGGTGAAAACTTGTAGGAGCCGGAGGAGAAAAAAAAAAAGACATTCTTAAGAGCAGGCCCACACTTCTAGAATTTGCACTCTCTCAAAATAAATGTATGTCCAGGACTGCTAGCAGAAAGAATTTTAAAATACACGTCTATGCCACAGTCTTGCCAACTGATAAATTATGAAATGCTGGGTTCCTAGTCAAGCGATCAGTTTCAAAGTTGCAGGACATCATCATGTTTTGTCTCATTATTGAGATCTTTGCAAAGGCACCCAGATACCATGGTAAAGAGTGCCCTATAATAAGGTATATCAAGTTTAAATCTTCCAAAATCTTTTGCCCTCAAGAGTTGCATATTGAAAAGGAAATTATAGACACTTAGCTATAAATATAAGCAGTCAATTCTTTAGCAATGCCACAGTATGCACCCACCCACACCCAGACAAAGTTTTAAAGGAAATATTTGTCTAGTCCTGATAGCTTATTGAGCATCAAGATCCTTTGTAAAAGAAAAAATAAAGTTTTCAGACTTTTTAAAGGTCATCTAATCTACAGTACCAAATTTTCAACATTAGCTTCTAAGTTTGTGTCTGCAATTTTGCATGTGCAGCTTTTCTGTGGGTTTTGGAGGGCTTTTTTTATTAGTAGTTTTTGTTTTGCATGTTAAATTGGGAATAGATATATTTATGTACACAATCTAGCCAAAAATATGTCATTGAAAGGGAAATTCTAGATACTCAGCTATAAATATAAGGTTTTGTGTATATAATATGGACAGGAAATAATAAAGATACTTTATAAATATGAGATTTCTATTCATCTTGCAAGCCTATTTAATAGACAAAAATGCTTTCCAGTTACCTTCTCCTCCAGCTTTGATTCGTTGCCGGGGTCCCTTTGTTGAAGATTGCCTTGGTATTCTCGCAGGACTTTCACCCTTTAAAAAAAATAGATAAAAAACGTAGAACTGAAAATTGCTCCAAGCTAAACAGCACAGTATTTCCTGCATCTGCGATATCTGAAATACATGACTATCCCACTCTACCCATGCCTTAAGAAAACACCCACCACACCATTTGAGATAAAAATGAAATATACAAGAGAAAAAAAGGAAGCAAGGAAATCATCTTCTTATTTGCAATACAGCTAGAATCTCAGAAAGCAGTGCACCCTTCTGGTAATAATTTGAGACACTGTTAACGTTAAGAAGGCAAAGATCACATGCCGGTGGAGGGCCTGTAAATCTGCATTTAGGAGGCACAGAATGGGGAAACTGTGCTAGTAATGTTCACAAGCATAATGGGGTTTAAAAATGCAGACAGCGGAGAGACCTTATTGATTCTGTCCTAAAACAAAACTGAAAAATAACTATTTTAAAACTGTGGTTGCAATTATGTGATTGTTTCTACTATTTGCAGGAGCCATTTGTCACTATAAGCATCCACAGGCAGGCAAGCAAGCAATCTATGGGCAAGTCAGATTTAAGAACTAGTTTGAGCCATTAAAAACTGGGAGTAAAGTATGCACCAAAAATACTAAGGTCCATACCTCTGCCATCAGAATTTCAGATGTCTTGAAATAAAAGAACATACAGACATTATGGTCAGAAAAGTCACTACACAAATGAACAACAGATGATATTAAATAAAGCAACTGGTTTTGATAAATTTATTCATTAGATTTTTGCTGTTATTTTACCTGCAACAAGATAGGAAATGTTTTGGTTTCATTCTCTTTAGAAGCGCTAAGATTTACTGAAAAGTAAAACTACTACAAACAAAAGTGAGGGTGATAATGAAGTAGCTTATTTTACTTACTACCATCGTTTTACATTCCAAACATTATGCAACAGGCAAAATAAAACTAGCATTCCAGCAAAATCTGGGCTGAAAGCTTTTGAGGCACATCTGGTCTGCTCAAGTATTCTCTCCAGACTTTTGGTGATATGTTTATTAGCACAGGTGGGAAAGAAGCTGAAAATAGGTGCAGAGGCTTCTAAGAGAGCTAGTTTAGTGATTTGTTTATGTCAGGTAAGGAATGAAAACATGGTTTTCTATTTTTGTATAACGCATGCACCATGGTAACAGATACAAAATAATAGCTAACTGTTATCACAGTTTTTACTTTACAGTCAAATTAATCTGGAAACATTAATTTAAGATTATGCCTAAGAAGTACGTACAAATACTTGCACATTTTGCGAGGTCTTATTTGTGTTTGTTTAAAAAAAAAAAACTGTGCTACATCTAAATCTGCTACTCAGGCCTCTGGTATCAGCAGTCACACTCCTCTGACAACTGCATTTATGTGATAAGAGGCACAAAAGTCATGTTGATTTTTGGAGATCTAGCCAATCAACAGGAGACTATGCTCTGGAGAGATACTCTGCCAGTTTGCTTTTAAATCCCTCTTCTGATCCAGATGAGCAATGCTAGTCAGCCTCTACTTTCATGAGATTGTTTAATGCAAGGGACTTTATGAAAATCCTTTGTCAATGACCTTTTTCAAGGTCTTCCTCTGCGCTCTGCAAAATAAGATTTTATAAAATTTAAAGCCAATAGAAAAGTTTCAGATAAAAAAATGTGGGACAGACATTCCTCTGCAGAGTCTGAAACCCCAAATACTGTAGGGCTAAAAAATCCAAGTGACACTGATCTCACTGATTTTTCCCGTGTAAGTGCAGAGAAGGTTTCTTAAAAGTACACAAATAGCAAGTATCACAACTAGATGAGTGCTGTGGGTAACGTAAGAAACCTGTGTACAGTATCTGGTTTAAAGTTGCTGAACTCACTTTTAATACATCTGCTTTAGAATCTTACAATTGTATTTTAATTTAAAACAATTTTAAGAACTACAGCAATCCTCAGGTGACAGACTCCCAGAGCCCAGTCTGAATTAATATTTTGTAAATGTGACACTTAAAATAGCCAGCTTGATAAAGCTTTTGTATCACTTTGCAATAGTTACCTCTTTATCTGGCTCAGTCTTGGTGTCTTTAGAAGATCTCTCTGTTTTCTTAGCTAAAGTTTCCTCAGACCCTGCAGACTGAAGAAAAAGACAGTTGCTTTATACCCAACTACTGAGTTACCTAGTATCAATGAATGACCTACATTACGTCATTTAAAGGAAAAGGCCTTGACGATAAAAATCCATGTATGGTAATTCTGAATATCATAAGGCAAGTTTCTTTTTATCTTTCTTCTTTTAACTGATACCTGCCAGCACTTACTGGCATGAGGGTCCCCCTTAGGCCAAAGGGAGTGCTCTCATGGAGGTTTTGGTGGAGTGCAGTGTCTGTATATAAACCCAGAGGGCTCCACACACCCACGTATACTTCCGCTGATAATACATAAGCAAAACTAACTTTTGCACGACACCTTTTCTGAGCAACCCTTGGGGAAAGGAAGCCTCCAGACGGGGGAAGATGTATCTGTACATTATCTTTCTCACAAAAATTAACCTGTTTTCACACTTCAGGTGTCCCTTACTCTGTAGTCACCACTGGCAAACAGCGGAAGAGAAACAGAGGCTAGGAGAGATTTAGAGAACGTCAGCAGGATACAGCATCCAAAACCAGCCACAGCTTGAGTGATGAAGTGAAACACAACAAGATGGATCTGAAGGCAGTTGTGGGTTCCAGACAAGAGAAGAGCAACACAGGGAGCAACGATTGGGAATGTGCCCCTTGTCAGAGAGTGAACCACAGCGTGAAGAGCACACATTACTAAGGGACCTTTTCCCCCAATAGATGGTTTGTTTTACCTTTTTTTCTGCTTTATCCGTTGCTTGTTCTTTCGAGCGTTGCTCATCTTTGCCTCGTTCCCTTCGTCTGTCCCTCTCTCTATCTTTTCCTCTCTCTCGGTCTTTGTCTCTGCCCTTCTCTTTGTCTCTTTCTTTCAATTTTTCCTTTTCTTTTCCTCCTTCATTTCTTCTTTCCTTCTCTCGTCCTTTATCATGTTCCAGATCTTTTTCTCGTTCCACACCTTTTTCTTTCTCTCTGCTTTTTTCCAATTCTCTTCCTTGTTTGGATGTTCTGTTCTTGCTTTTCTCTCTTGCATGTTTTTCACCTTCTCCAAGATTATCCCCATCCAGGTCTTTGTGCCTGTCCTCATTATCTTTATGCTTGTCTCTTTCCTTTTCTCTTTGCTTCTTCCCTTCTTTCAACTCTTCTCTAGGTTTTCGGTCATGACTTGAACTTCTGTCTTTTATTTCATTGTCCCCTCTACCCTAAAAACAGAGTGGCAAGTAATATTAAACTACAGCACAAGCCAGATCCATTACACACTATTTTTCACCCTGAAATATTTCTAATTGTTGTCTGTTCTCCCTCCCCCATTCACATGCGACAAAGCCCACCTCTTTATCCTTATGGCTTTTTTGTTCTTCTGCCCTGGACTCTCTGTTTTCTTTATCTTGCGATTTAGAAGTAGATGGAGGCTTTCCTTTGATATCAGCTCTCTCCCCAGCAAGGACCCTCTTCACAGCATCGTCACTGGACAACTGAAGAGATTAAATCCAATGAAAATTAACCTGTGTTACTCTATTAAATGCAATCTGCATTTCCAACTCTGCAGTTCCCATGCTGATTTTTATGAAGCTGTATGTGTTTTATGCTACTCCTTTCATTCGGAGACAATAAGATTTAAATTAACCACTTTGTGGTGATGTTGTTGGGTTTTTTTAAATAATTTGCCTGTATCCACAAAAGCTACCCTTCAATGCTGATTTTTTTTCTATTATAGTGCATGTTTCCAATGCTTCTCCTACTATATCTTTTACCTGTAATGGTAACATGGATTATTTTGGAAGCATCTATCATGCTGTGACTGCTGCAGTGGTTACACATCTTCAATCCCACAATGCCGTATTTAGATAGACGGTGATGCGGCTCCATTGTAACTATCAGGCTTTCATATTCAAGATACACCTTTTACAAATTCTAGGAAGCCTGTTCTGAAGAGCACTGCCACCAGAATTGAGCTTAGAGGGAATGCTGGGCTCAGTAACTCCTCCCCAACCTTCCAGGACACCACAAAGACCTCATTGGCAACACTCGAGCTCAAGGAGGGAGGGAGAAAACTGGAGGGGGGAAGCTCGGGAGAACAGGCAGGGTAGCTGCAGATCCACGCGGCCAGGAGTGCAGTCCCAAGCAACAGCAGAGGGGCTGGCACTGACTTGCTCTGGTCCAGCACGGGTAAGGTCCTGAGGGTGCTGGACCAGCGAGGTACAGTCATATCTGGGGCTGGGAATGAATTTTCTCCCAGGGCAGATTGGCAGAGACCACGGGTTTGGGATTTTTTGCCTTCCTTTGCAGCGTGGGGCACAGGTAGGTGGCTGGTTTGAACTACAGTAAAGAGTGGAGTCTCTGTATCTGGAAGTCTTTAATCCATAGTATGAGGATGTCACTAATTCAGCCAGAAGTTATCTGTAGAACCGGGTGGGTGAGTCCCAGGGCCTGTGCTGTGCACGTCAAAGTAGATCAGGAGTTGCCAAACTTACTGACTCTTCAGCCTGCATACAACCATCTGCAGACATTCAAGCTGGGGCGAGCCTTCTGGGGCTCAGCACTCCAGCTCCAGGGGAGGTGTCTGCCAGGGCTTAGGGCTTCATTCCTGCAGAGAACGAGGTCCTGGAGCGTCAGGACCTTCTGAGGTCCTGAGCTCTGGCAGGTACACCTCATGGGACTGAAGACCCCATAGGCGCCTCCCTGGGCTGAAGCCCTGAGACATCCCCCCACGAAGCAGAAGTCAGAGGCAATGTGGGAGGAGGTATGGAGGGGTCATATCCATCCCCCGATTTCTGCAATGGGTTTCTGGCCCCACTCAGTCCTGCTGGGCCACCTCTCTGCACAGCAGCTGCTGGAGCCAACAAGCCAGGAGCTGCACCTTGGGCAGATGCAGCAGCCAACAGCAGGGAACTGCAGGTGGAGCCACTCCAAAGATGCAAAGAAAGGGGGTGTGACAAACTACTGGGGAGGGTTGAGCCTTTAAATTGTGCTCCCCCACTTTCAGCAGGCAGAAGCCCCTGGCCCCACTACCCCACCACAGGGCAGAAGCCCTGAGTGCCTGAAGATCGGAGGTTGTGGGAGGCTTCAACTGAAGAGAGCCGCATGAGGCTCATGAACCAGTTTGGTCACCCCTGGACTAGATGACTATGATGGTCCCTTCTGGCCTTGAAGTCTATGGGTCACAGCGGTTATATTAAAAAAAAGACACCCAGGGAACCGAAAAAGTTGGGAACCATTCACGTCTAAAGCACTGACAGTAAGACCAGACCTTATTTAGACAGCACTTCCCAATTGCTTGGAGAAACTCATTGGTTCTTTCCGGTTCATGTCCAGCTACCACACGGGCCGGCTTCACTGCCAATGGCTCCCCTGTTACCATTATGACCACATCAATAGCCTTCTGGAGAAAGCTGATTTTGGCATCTTTATCCTGGAAAAAGTAATTTGATATGTTATTAAAAGTCTATTTAACCTCTGGTGTGCAGCACAGACAATTTCCTATGTGAACTTATCTATTATCATTACAAAGCATTTTAGGGTAAGAATAAGTGTTTCAATCATGGATAGTTATTGTAATCAAAATTAAAAAATTAAAATATGAAGTTCCAGTGCTTTAATTACAATCACTTTTTCTGAGGCACACAAGATTGGTGAAGTAATACACTTTACTGGACCATCTTTACTTGGTGAAGGGAAGGGACAAGCATTGGAGTTTTGCAGAGCTGTTCCTCAGGTCTGGAGAAGGCTAATGGTGTCACAGCTAAGAAGGTGGAACAGATTATTGAGGACCAAAGAAACAAAGATTCACACAGTGCAGGAGACTGCTTAAAATGAAGAGGACAGTTAGCCTGGACACACTGGTCACCTTCTGAGGAAGCTCAAAAGCTTCTGCCTTCCACTATCAGAAGTGGATCAATAACAGTTACTACCTCCCTCACTTTTATGTGTCAGCCTGAGATCTACCTGGCTACAACACTGCAAATCACTGTTCTTCTCTCATACATTATGGCTACGTCTACATTGGCCCCTTTTCCGGAAGGGGCATGGTAATTTTTGAGATCGTAATAGGGAAATCCGCGGGGGATTTAAATATCCCCCGCGGCATTTAAATAAAAATGTCCGCCGCTTTTTTCCGGCTTTTAAGTAGGAATATGTGTATTTTCAAGTAGGAATAAGAGATCCTCCGGAAAAGGGCTTTTTTCCAGAGGATCTGGCCAGTGTAGATGCTCTTTTCCGGCTTTTCTAAAAGCCGGAAAAAAGCGGCGGACATTTTTATTTAAATGCCGCGGGGGATATTTAAATCCCCCGCGGATTTCCCTATTACGATCTCAAAAATTACCATGCCCCTTCCGGAAAAGGGGCCAATGTAGACGAGCCCTATAAGATGTGCAGAGACTGAGTTCTATTTTCTTGAGCTAAATATTAAACAGATTATTTAATACATAGAGATAAACATCTTTTAAACAAATGCCAATAAAGCTTTGACTTCCATGCAGCTAATCTGAGAGGCTTGTGATTAAATATATTGGCTACAATAATAAAAATAAAACGACATTGAGAACTATGAGTAACTATTTTTCATGTTAGAGTAACACTTCTAGGCTCCAGTCAGGATCAGGCGCTTCTCATGCTAGGCACTATACAACAAACAAAAATCGACACAGTCCCAGCATCAAGATTTTTGAGGTCCTGGAGTCCCCTCAAAGATACACACACGCACACCAAACTGTACACGTTGTGAATAGATTGATAGAATTAAGACGGAGTAAAGTATATGTCTTTGCAAGAGCCCGTAAGAAAACAAGTAATATATGAAGAATGTAGGAAAGGGAAAATCAAATGTACGTTACATACACAAGTACCAAATGCACACACTTTTCTTTTGTAAATTACATCAATAATGAACTTTTTCCATCTTCCCCTAAGTAGTCTGATTTCTTTTTATCTTTATGCAGAATAAGTAACAATCCAAAAAGAGGGAAAAGGTGGGATTCACAGTACACTGGGTAAAATTATGACTTGTAATTCTTACACCCACAGAATTCCTCAGAAATTTTCAAACTCACTGATCAGTCTATTAATACAGCCTTCTAAAGCCATCATGAAACTTTCACAGCACAGGCACAAAAATCTTATTAATCTACCCTTTCCTGTGACGTCTGAAAGCTAAAAACTATTTCACTAACCCAGGTTTTAATGACAGAGAATATCCCTGGTGAGAACTGTATACGTTGTTTTAACAGAAGTATGTTCAATAAAAAGTTGACAGTGCTGAAAAGTTCAGTTATAGTAACTATGAGAATTAATCGATTTCATTAAAGAAAAGCACCTGCATTGTGGCAGTGTTGGTTCTGCATCACACCTACATCCACCCAGGCTGAGAGACTGGAGAGCTCCTCCAACTGACAGTGTTACCAACAGAAAGGAGCAAATATGTCCTTAAAAGCCACTGGGTACCACTGTTTATTCCAATTGTAGTGGAGCTTAATATGATGTACTTCCCTTTACAACATAAACCATAACCCTCCTCATTCAGTGCTAAAATAGCATTGGTTAGGACAATAGAAGTGAAGAGTTACTACAATTTTTCCGGCATCTTTTCAAGCTTCAAAGGAGTAAAAGTCACCCCCTTTTCAGATCAAGACAGAACATACACTGATCAAGGTAGTCTCCCCTGTACAATTAACGACTCAGGAGTACACTTCTGCAAACAATAAAATACCTGTTAACTACTAACACAAGTGTTGGAGCTTTTTATGCAGCTCATGACATTGACAGTCCATTACAGAGCTCCTGCACATGACAATCTTTCCAAAGGGCCCAGAGCTCCACTTCATTACTCAAACACCCAGACATGAAAACTCATTCACTTTACCGCTCCATGTACAAGCACCTAACTTGGTAAGAATATGCACAAAAGGTGTTTAATAAACAGTTCTCAAGATATCAAACAACACCAACAGATTCTGTAAAAATCTCAACGTTTTTTATGTAAGTAAACAATACACAAAAAGTTAGAGTTATTTGCCTATGCACAACCACAACACACCACCACCACCACACTTTTAAAAAGGCAGCATTTAAGCATATTCCTGGGCATTAGCTTCAGATGAGTGTAGGTTTATCATAGTAAATAGAATTCAGTGAAACAAAGTGGCAATAGCTAGTGACCAGTTATAAAGAATTCCAACATTAAATAAGGAAATTTCAAACCCACCTTCACATTATCAGATTTCATCTCAAAGTCTGTGTAAAGCCCGTTCATAAAACCAGTCACTCTAATTACCTTCAAAGCAAACACAGTAAATTAATAATAAAAAAAAAAAAACTAGAAAGCTTCCAAAAAACCCCATCTTTTACAAACTTTCTGCAATCACTTGGAGGGATGCTATTTCATGCTGAACTATTTTGGTGGTGCAGTTTTAAAGATCCTTTCTATTGCAATGATCTCTTCTGTCATGGGTTTCAATAAGTCATTTGAAGCTTGCTCTTTTTTTTAAAAGTCTCCTTCCTTTGAATCATATCTCTGCAGTACAGAAGATTCACTTTAAAGGCTACGTCTACACTGCAGACTTCTTGTGCAAGAACTGTTTTACACAAGAGTTCTTGTGCAAAAGGTCTTCTACAAGAGTGTGTCCATACTGCCATGTGCTTTTGTGGAAGAGATGTGCTTTTGCGCAAGAGTGTCCATGGCAGTGTGGATGCTCTCTTGTGCAAGAAAGCTCTGATGGCCATTTTAGCCATAGGGCCTTCTTGCACAAGAAACCACTATTGCCTGTCTACACTGCCTTCTTGTGGAAGAGCTCTTGCGCAAGAGGGCTTATTCCTCATGGGAAGAGGAATAACTCTTTTGGAAGAAGCCCTGTTTTCCAACGCTGTACTGTAAGTTTACTTGCGCAAGAACACGCGTGCAGCATAGACGCTCTGCAAGTTTTTGTGCAAGAATAGCCTGCAGTGTAGATGAAGCCTTTTTGTTTTACGCAGAAAATTACAGTTAATACACCCAAAGGCCATATACTTTAACGACAGTCCTGATGTATTCTGTTACTGCCTAACACGTGGTGGCTGATTTCTTAATAGACATGCACATACTTGAGTTCAGGGAATTTAACATCTTCTAATGAATAATCCATTTCGACCTTCCTTTGACTAAAGGAAGGCAAAAAAGGATAAGCTTTGTAAATATCTTTCAGAGTGTAGGAGTGGTCACCTTTTATTCTATAGTAGATGTTCATTAGTAGCCACACAGGGGCGCCTTTTGCTACTTAGCTTCTAAACACCTATTGCAATTCTAGGGCTTGCTGCCAGGTCATGGTGGGTGGGGAAAGCATTCCCATGAGAAATGTTCATAAGCAGTGGTTGCTTTTATAAGGTGTTGCTTTAAACAAGCACCTACTGTAGTACTAACGACCACAAATGTTTTCTACTTTGGTAATATCTTTCACCTGCAGCTGTAAGGTTTGGGAGATGGGGGTGGGTGTTGTTTTTTATTTAAGAGGAGCAAAAATTCTTGCCTCCATTTCACACATTGGAAAAGGCAAAAGAGTGAGAGAGAAACCAAAGCAATAGAAGGGTTGCTGGTCAGGATGTAAAATCCCAGGTAATCTGTTAATTAGTTACACCTCTGGTTTAACCAAACAAATGGGCTCCTGCTCCTACATGTGCCCACCCTCCAACTCAGGGTTCTGTCCCCTCTGTGCTCAGGGGAGCCAGCTTCTGCTCCTGCACCCCTGAGTGAAGGGGAAGTGGCAGCAGAAGCATAAGGGTGATGCTTACCAGGTAACCAGTTACCCATTCACATCCCTAGCTGCTGGTAGGTAGGTAAATAGCTACCCCTCCCCCTACTGCTGCACTCCCTCCTGCAGGCAGATGGGAGGGCACCACGGGGGGGGGGGGGGGGGCACTCGGCCGGCC